AGGAGGGGGTAATGTTTATTAGGGAGGGGGGGGGAGGGGGCTTTTGTCTTTTATCGTTTTTTGCTAAAAAAACATATATTTAAACACCATTTATGTTTTAAAAATAACTGAAATTTGTGACTGAAACTTATGGTTCCAAAAAGTTAAGAGAGTGTTCGCGAAAAATGAAAGGGGGTAAAGGCATAATGCGAAATATAAGCGCTTTTGATCGCTACTAATCGCTCATACGTCTGTTCGGTTCAAAGTTCTAGGGTGCACTGTTGAATCTTAATGAATCAGTTCAGGTTAACTACTCCGTATTCATTAAAAAAAACAAAGAGATAAATTGGAGTGAGGCTGGGGGAGGGTTTTAGCCATGAGTCGCCTACTTTAAATATTACAATATAACGTTTGAAAACTAAATCAAAACGGATTTTTTTTAAAACTGGTTCATTCCGTTTCTTCTGCTTAAAATTGCATGAAACTTTTTTAAAAATTTTAAAAATTTATGTGTGTTGATATTTTTAAATGTTGTCTTCGTCGCTGTTAACGCCATTAATACTGCAATAGATCGTTAACAGTTGTGCGGTTAACGGTTTCATAAACCGTTAACATCATTTTTTCGGCGCCTGGCACCGCTAACGCCGTGAATACTGCAATAGACAGTTAATGATGAAATTTGTTCGCTGTCAATTTCTGTATTAATCTTTCATTAACGCCGTTAAAAAAAATCTTTATCATATTTAGGTCTGCAGTGCTCGGCTCTGAGAGCTGATACTAGACTAGTAGACACTAGACAGTGGGGATGAACTGTAGAAGTATAATCCACAGATCTGATCAGTTAAATAAGGTACATTTTAGTCAAAATAAAAACTTCATTACTGCTGGAATGTCAAAAAAAACCTATAGTGCCCTAAACATTTTTATTTATGTATTTTTAACCTTATATCTTTTAATTTAATATTTTCTACATATTGATTCTGCCCCCCCCCCCGCGCCCGTCAAAAAGCGTAAACTTTATTTTTATTTTCATTTTGATAAAATGTTAGCCAGAAAAATTATTCCGAAAATCAGTGCTTAGGATCCATTTAATTTTGATGCGGATCCGGATCCTGGATCCGCATTGGAAAAAATGGATCCGGATCCAGGTCATTTATGAATTTTTTGAACAAAAAATAATTTTCAAATTTTTTGTTTTATTTTTTTCGCTTATTTTTATTTTAAAACTTGATTAACTATTCAGAAATGAGGAAATTTTTATAATCTCTTTTTTTTCTAAAGTTCAGAGTAGGGTTTTAGGATTAAAAGAAGTTGTTCTTGCAGTTTTTGGTTGATATTTTAGCCCTTGGATCTGGATCCGTGGATCCGCATATTTTTGCGGATCCGGATCCAGGAAGCCAAAATCTTGCGGATCCAACAAATCCGGATCCGGATCCTAAGCACTGCCTAAAATTAAGATATTTATGTTTTTTTACAAATCGGCAAAATTATATCAAAAATCATGATATTAATATTACTACCTTTCTTATGTTTCTAACCATTTTTCTTTGTGTACAATATACACTGTATATTGCAAAAGAAAAGTTCAGGGACATTTTTATGAATGTTCTGGTTTTAATCGTATTTTGCTTTACAGAATCCAGAATCATAACAAATAAAGTTTTCAAGCTTTGAGATGGTTAAATTATTAGACTTTTGTTTTAGGAAACTTGGGAAGTCAGAAGTTTTAGGTTGTGCATCTTAGGATCAATCATTGATCTCAATCGCATGCGGACCTACAGACTTTGATTGTTCAATGTTCATACCCTGAAGGATTACCTTTGATTGAGTGATCAAGAACTTATTGATATTTAGATCAAGTGTGCAAGATTAACAATACCCTCCAAAGTTCTGACCTCTGAAGCTGATCCTAGTTAATTTAAAAAAAGTTAGTGGCCAAAAACTGTTATAAAGAGGAACATTCTGTTGCGTGTAAAAATTTAATACTGGAAAGATAAAAAAGTACTAAATGAGCAGCCTAAGGCGGATTTTTGATACCCATATAAACATGTTCTGAAAAAGTTTGTTTCTTCATTTTTAGCCATAAACAGGCGGGGGGGGGGGGGG